CAAAGGTTGCTAAAACTTTGACTTATTTATTCTCTTCTTTAGGACGAAAATCATAGCTGAAGTGTGAGAAGTAAATCTCTTTGTCACAGTCCTCAGGAACAATAGTTACATATTGACAGTGGTTACACACAGAGGGGTCGTTCTGTCTGTCAGTGGATTTCTCATAAATGGGAGGCATGGTCTTGTTGCTGCAGTTTTTAAGGTTGTCTCTTCTTCCAGTGGGTGGAGTTGACCAGGTGCACCGAACAGCTGGAGCTGACCAGGTGCACTGAACAGGTGGTCAGCATTTGCCTCTATTAACGTGAATATTGCTGTCGGCTTCCCTCACCCCTCCTTTCTGCATTAGTAAAGGAAACCCATCCCCACAGGTCTATGAGTCTGCCTTTCGAACATAACCAGTATGGAGAAATCTTGCTTTTTGTCTATGTCAAAATCAGTCTTCTAGGCTAGGAGTCACCTTCCTCAATTTCATAGTTGTTTCCAGTGTGCTTTTTGTGAGCCCACAGTTCAGGCTTCTAGTAAGACAAGGTTTTCGTGAAGCATGGGGTCTGCTGGTATATTTCTCAAATTATCATAGTAATAAAAACAATTGCCAGTCATGGTGGCACACGCTTGTAGTCTCAGAGCACTTGGGGAGGCAGAGGCAGGTTGCTCTCTATGAGTTCGAGGCCAGCCTGGTCTACAAAGTGCGTCCAGGACTACATAGAAAAACCCTGTCTTGAAAATAGATAGATAGATAGATAGATAGATAGATAGATAGATAGATATGATTAGATAGATAGATATGATTAGATAGATATGATAGATAGATAGATAGATAGATAGATAGATAGATAGATAGATAGATAGGAAAATAGGAAATAATTAAGGGCTGGACATATAGCTAAGTTGGTAGAGTGCTTGTCTAGTCTGTACAAAGCCCTTAGCACTGAATGAAATGGGCGTCGTACATTCTAAGTACACTCCGGCAATCCCAGCCTCTGGGAGGCGGAGACAGGGGGACCACGGTTTAACATCATCCTCATAGAAGTCAAGGCCAGCCTGAGATTCATGAGACCTCATCTCACTAAAATTACATTTTCTGTTTTTTTTTCCTCTTCCCTTCACTTTCCCTCCTTCTTTCCTCCCTTCTTCCCTCCCTTCTTCCCTCCCTCCCTCCCTCCTTCTCACCCTTCCTTCTCACCCTTCCTTCCTTCCTTCCTTCCTTCCTTCCTTCCTTCCTTCCTTCCTTC